GATATTTTACTGTCAACAAATCTCACAGGCAGTTTGGGCTGGCTGCATTCTCACTAGATGGCCGAACCATTTCCTTCTTTGTCTGTCAATATCATCCAAACATGGTCTTATTCCAACTTTCTCTCTAATGCTGGTGTTCGTAACCCTACCTCGTGTTGTTAGTGACCTTGCGGAGACAGCCCATTTCACATGTAGTTATTCCCGTGTGGGTTCGGGGCCCCATTGCAGGGAAAACAGGAATAGACCCACTGCCGTCCCAAAAGCATGTCGTAAGAGTCGACTAATTGGGGAGCTTCCTTTGAAGTCGGGGTGCATCTGCCGGAGAGACAAGGAACCAACAGTCTGTATTCAAGAGAATGAGATCTGTAAAACTGATGCGCACGCAACACTCAGGTTCTGCAGCAGGACTGCAGTTCAGTAGTGGACGAGCAACCAGAACCTTCCGCCAGAGTTTACAGCTGGTGAACGCGAAGAAGAAGAAGAAGACATGTAGTTATTTTCTGTTCTAGTGCCCTTTTCATTGTCCATGTTTGGCACTGATAACATAAAGTAGGGATAATGATGCTATTAAAATTAAGGTCTAGTCCTAAATGTCCAATAAGCCTAAAAGCTCTGGAAAGGGTCCTCTGCTTTACTTTCATCATTATGTGCCCTGCCAACTGGCGTAGGCGCTCATGCGTCTCCACAGATCACGATCCCTGGTTGCCTGGATCAGCTTTCTTGACGATATCCCTCCATACCATCGTTTCAGCCCATCCATGATCATCTTTCTTGGTCTGCCTCTGCCCCTTTTCCCACTGATCTTTCCAGTTGTCACGATGTTCTCTAATGTCTCTCTTCTCATTACGTGACCAAAGAACAGTGTTTGTCTCTTTCATTTTGTTGTATACAGAATACATATCTACTTTCATTACTTCTTTCAAGCAATCGTTGTTAGTTACTCTGGCCGTCCAAGGTATTACTTATTATTATTATTATTATTATTATTATTATTATTATTATTATATGTGTTGGATGGGAAATGCAATTTATTAGAGATAATATGAAATGTATAAAGCGCCTGAGCTCCCAGGTTTGAGTGCCTATGGCCAGCGGATAAGCGTAAAACCACTGCGGTACATTTTCACAAATATTCCGATTACACGAAGCGTTATTATCCGATGCACCCGGTAACTTTAACACTTGTGTGTGGTGTATGTATGTGTGGAGTATTACTTTTTTACTTTCAACGGTAATGAATATAAGATTTCCAGGTTAATGTGTTGAAAAAAAAAAAAAGCAATTACCGATAACAGATTCAGTTCGAATCCGCACTTGCTTTGTTCAGTGTAAGTAATTATCACCACAGTTCAGTCTGTTTATCGATTGTTGAATTCCAGGTCGCAATTCATCAGTGAAACACCCGTTTCAGTAATTGTTAATGAGTAAGTAAGTAAAGTAAAAGTAAAGGACCCTTTTCCACTCCTTAAGGCGTATAGGGCAATTAGGGCTAGACCAATATTTTTATAGACCAATCGGCACAAGATGAGTGATGTGGTCACGCCAATTGTTTATGAGTCATGGTTACTAAAGTCTGGTGTTCGAGACTACAACAGGGGACATGTGGACTTCATGTAAAGTCTGGTATTGTTTGACTGAAGTTCTTATAGGTGGTTTGTAATTTTCCTAGAGCCGGCTTCGTAAAGGTAAAGTGTGGAATTATTTCACTGAAGCCTGTATTGATGTTCTGTGATTTTCTAGAGCGGACTTCTTGTGGGTAAAGTGTGGTATTGTTTCACTGACGCTTGTACTGATGGTCTGTGGTTTCCTAGAGTGGAGTTATTGTGGGTAAAGTGTGGTATTGTTTCAGTGAAACTTGTTCTGATGGTCTGTGTTTTTTTTTTTAGAGTGGAGTTAATGTGGGTAAAGTGTGATATTGCTTGACTAAAGCTTGTACTGATTATCTTTGATTTTCTGGAGCGGACTTCGTGTATGTAAAGTGTGGTATTGTTTCATTTAGGTTTGTATTGATAGTATATGATTTTCTAGAGTGGAGTTCGTGTGGGTAAACTGTGGCATTGTTTCAGTCAAGTTTGTATAAATAGTGCATTGTTTTTTTTAAGACTAGAATATTTATTATGTCTCTTGGTGGTTTGCTTAATTCTGACACAGGTATATGTGTACGGACCCTCTACCGCCATTCTCTCTTATATATATATATATATATATATATATATATATATATATATATATATATATATATATATATAGAGAGAGAGAGAGAGAGAGAGAGAAACAAACACACACAGGACATACGTACACATGTACATTAACACATACATATAACACTCTCCCATATATATATTTTTTAAAAACCCAGTTTAACCATACAGCAGCAGTAATATTGGGGCAGCACAAAACGGTCACAAAATAACACGTAGTCCAGTGTGGGTGGGTTTTTGTTGACCGACTGTAAACTCCTGCGGAAACTTCTAGTTGTTTGTCCACTCCTCGACTTTGGTCTTATCCAGAACTTCAGTTTTGCGTAAACATCCGTTTTAGAGACCCGTATACTTTGTTTACAAACTATTGGTTCCTTGTTTCTCAGGCAGATGTACTCCGACGTCTAAGGACCAACCCCATCCCCTCCCTATTAGTCGCCTCATAAGACATGCTTGTTGCGTTACATTGCCTCTAATTTTTGTTCTCTAAAATGAAGCTTCAGAACCCATACTTGGGTGGGTGGGTGGGGGGGGGGGGGGGATGAGGATTCGAATCAAGACCTTCGGGCCAGCAGACGACAGTGTAGCCGTTTCGTTAGCGGAGCTACCAACCTTAGTGTAGTTCGTGCATGTTATCTGATACTCATAGTTTATATAGTGTTATTTAAACATAACATGCTTTAAAGACACAATACCCCTGCAGTTTCCCTGTTTGGGTTTCCGGGCCCTATTGTAGGGAAAACAAGAATAGACCCACTGCCTACTCAAAAGCATGTCGTAAGAGTCGACTATTTTGGGAGGTTCCTTCGAAGTCGAAGTGCATCTGCCTGAGAGACCAGGAGCCAACCGTCTGCACACAAATGAATCAGATCTGTCAAACGGATGCACACGCAACACTTAGGTTCTGGAACAGGACTGCAGTCCAGAAGTGGACGAACAACCAGAACTTTCTACCTGAGTTTACAATTGGTGAACGCAAAAAAAGAAGAAGACAATCGCAGTAGGTAAAATAAGTGTTTCGGAAGGACCGAATATTACATGGGCCTGCGTGTCTAATTTGTGACCCTTTGGGGGGGGGGGGGGGGGGGGGGGGGAATTTAAAGTTATTTCATTCTTTCGACTACATTCATGTCCACCATATCAGTGAGACACAACTCGCAGAGATCGATATGCGAAGGAAGAAGTAGATTAGACTGCTGCATTATTGACAGTTTATTGACAGTCTCTACAGTATATTGTACTTTGGATCCAGCGACTCATCAAATTTAAACCGCTATCATCACCATCATCATCATCATCATCAGGTGCCTTGCCGACTTGCGTGGGCGATCATGCCTCTCCATAATCCACGATCTCCTGCTGCATGTATCAGTTTGTGTGCCGACACACCTCCTTGCCACATGCCAAGCAACAAGACTCAATAAACCGCTATAAAGACACTTAAATACACATTAAGAGGGTTTTCCTGGCGAAGGGACCAAGCCGTTTGGCTCGCGCCTTACAGGTAGTCTTTCTTCTTCTTCTTTCGCTCACTTGAAATAGATTATCTATATCTGCAATATTTTCTCTAGTATGAACTTTACTGTCTTTTGTAATACACTCAACGACCCGTAAAGTTTGGCTTGTACCGCTGTTTCTCTTGGTAAAAAAGTTTTGCTTTAATATGCTTTTTTTTTCGGGACAGTCTTGGTGTACGTGATCTGTTGTTTCAAGTTTCAATACACATATGCCCATGGCTGATTCGCCAGTGTAGAATTGTGTGTCTTGTTCTAAAGCGTAAAATAATAACTTGCTCTAGTCTGTCTATAATATGGTAATCTTCTTGTGCCGGTTTTTGTGGCTTTTAGATTGATTTGATTATTCTCTTGTTTTTCTACTCCAAAGAAAACCAATACGTGTGGGGTTGGGGGAGGGGGGGGGGGGGGGGGGGAGTTGCCCTACTGGATGGGCAGTGCGTTGTACGCTTGTCGAAGCTTCACTTCAAGAACAGCAACTGCTAACTAAGGCTAAGGGACAATACCATACTGCAGACAGTAATGCCACCAGGGCTTTTGTTGTGACGGTACTGGCAACAGTACTCAGTACCGGCACCCTTTTTAAAGTCGTTACCTTTTTCAGCGCTGATGTAATATATACTTTATGTCGAGTATTAGCACCTCTTTTGAGTATTTTTATTTTCAGCGCCACTGTAATAATATACACTTTGTGTCGAGTACAGGCTCCTCTTATTTAAAAAAAAAAAAAAAAAAACCCAGCAGCATCCTTACAATAACTTCATACAAACATTTAATCCATAAATAGGTCACATTTCACGGAAACGGAAACAATAAAATGCAAGGGTTACGAAGTGAGTGGAAATGGAAAAACAAAAACCAGTTGCTGAAACAAATAAAAATATTTCGGTTACATAAACCCGGACAACAAAGAGTTCGTCACCCGGTCTCCGCGCAAACCGGTTTAGCCAACTACGCTAGAGAGCCGGGCTCGAGACCTCATTAAAAAATGTCTTAGGGTTAGAGACCAGCCCCTTTCATGTTATCTCCCCCCCCCCCTCCCCGCCCATATTTTCTTTGTATGTGCAACCCCTATTTACAGAACACCATCACTGTGGAGACGGTACCTTATTCAATGATTTTAAAAATTACATGTTATTTCTTTATTAGGATCGTCATGATACCAGTTATCAAACATCTATCAGCTGATCTACACAGGACTGATTTGTGAACACGGTAGTCACTGAGCTCAGAAGAGTCCCTCACAACTGTCTACAAGCTTGAGCATAGTCTCTATACAGAGACCATGTCGGCCTTGGAAGAGCTGAAGATCGTCCTTCAGCACGATATCGACGAGCAGTACCAGTACCAGCCAGGGGAGATCATCAGAGGCAACATCGTCATCAAACTGTCCAGACCAACAGCTGTGAGGACAGTTACTCTCAAGGTAATTGTTATGTTTCTATCACTGAATAATTACTATCAAGGTAATTTTTTTTTTTTAATCACTGAACAATTACTATCAATGTAATTGTTATTTTTTTAAACCACTGAACAATTACTATCAAAGTAATTGTTATTTTTCTATCACAGAACAATTACTATCAAGGTGAATATTATTTTCTGTCACTGAACAATTACTACCAAGGTGATTGTTATTTTTCTATCACTGAACAAGTACTATCAAGGTTAGTGTTATTTTCTATCACTGAACAATTACTATCAAGGCAATTGTTATTTTTCTATCACAGAACAATGACTTTCAATGTTATTGTTATTTTCTATCACTGAACAATTACTATCAAGGCAATTGTTTTTTTTTTCTATCTCTGAACAATTACTATCAAGGTGATTGTTATTTTTCTATCACTGAACAAGTACTATCAAGGTATTTGTTATTTTTCTATCACTGAACAAGTACTATCAAAGTGATTAGTTATTTTTTTATCACTGAACAATCACTATCAAAGTGATTGTTAGTTTTCTATCACTGAACAATTACTATCTAAGTGATTGTTATTTTTCTTTCACTGAACAATTACTATCAAAGTGATTGTTATTTTTCTATCAATAAACAATTACTATCAAAGTGATTGTTATTTGTTTCTATCATTGCACAATTACTATCAAAGTGATTGTTATTTTTCTATCAATAAACAATTACTATCAAAGTGATTGTTATTTTTCTATCATTGAACAATTACTATCAAAGTATTTGTGAGCTGCAGTGGTGTAGCGGCTAGACGCTCGCCCGAAAGTCCGAAGGGTTGGAATCGGCATCGAGTCGGATTTGTTTCACTCACCTTGGCTTCTAGGTCGACCTTGCCTAAAATGGGCATCAGGTAAAGCCATGGGAAGTAAAGGGATGGACATTTCTCTGCTGTCAGAGAAACATCTTTCACCTCGTGTGAGCACCGAAACACGTGTGAACACCGAAACATAGAATAGGAAGCTTTCTGAATACAATGAACATTCAGAATTTCATACACCATTTTTCTTCTTCTCAGTGAATATTTAAGATGGAAGCAAACAATGTTGTGCGCCTCAAATATGAAACATCAGTATAACATCTTGAAATGGCAACACATTTTGACCATAAGGAAACATCTGCACCCATCATTTAAAGTAGGTAGGTAGTTGTATCCCACCAGGAAATCACACAAGCGATGAACACCCGGTGACACCAAGTGCTACCATGTGGATAATAATCACTTGTGGAGAAGTCCCAGAAACCCCTTTCATCCGTTAGGCTATATCGATGACTCGGCCATATCTATTCCCCGGCTTTATCTAGGGCCCCCGGCAGAAGCCAGGGTGGGGCCCCCCCTCCCCCCCCCTCCAAAAAAAAAAATTTGCATCCCACATGGGGACGACTGTGAGCATCAAAAAGACCTTTGAAGTAGAGGGCAATACAGAAAGGACAATTTGTGTTAAAAACGGCGAATTGCTGTAAAATTTCTGATAACAGAAATTGTCGTGAACATTCATAAACGTTTGTGTGCTGTGTATGTAAGTTGTGCAGTAGATAGGAGCACCGCTAAACCCTGGGTTCTGGGATATAGAGTTTCAGAAAGTGGTGAGATTGACTAGTGGCGTTATTCTTGCTGTCATGAAATGGCTAAGTGAACAGGAAAGATCTGATACAGTAAAAGAAAGCGTACATGTCTTGTTTCACGTCTTTTTTTTTTAAATTTCTTTTTATAGTCCTTGCTTTGTGATGTTGGTAGTCATGTCCATCCATAACCTTTTGTCTCGTGTAATTTTAGTCAGTTCTGATACAAATGATCTTCCATACTTTTATGTCAGACTACCCAGTATCCTATCTCTCGATCTCTCCCTGTGCCACCAAGTCTGAATTAAATCATTTTTAAAAATAGCTGAGATTTAAACTTAGCAGCTGGTAAATTCTGAAAATTGTCTATCCAATTTTGCTGTGGTATTTTCTCACAACCATTATTTACACAGAAGCCGTCTTTTGCAGGTATGTGGTGAAGGCAACGTCAGCTGGAAGACAGACGACGGGGATGTGTTCCAAGCCCAAGAATCTTACGTAGACGCAGCCAAAACCATCGTGGACACAGCCAACCAAGACCCACTCAGTCTGCCCAGGGGAACTCATCAGTTTTCCTTTGATTACCTCCTTCCTGAGAACATTCCAAGTTCTTACATTGGCAAGTACGGCAATGTAACGTATACCATGAGAGTGACGGTCAACGGCGTAAACTCCATTGATACTTCAATATCCAGCGAACCGTTTCTGGTGCTGCGTGAATCGCCCCTTCCAGGAAAAGTTAACCAACCTATTATGCTGGCGACTCAGAAACGACTGTGGGCTTCCTGTACTTTCGCTAAACTTCACATAAACGTCAGCTTAGACCGACAAGGCGGGGTGCCTGGAGAAGATATTTTCATCAATGCAGAACTCAAGAACTTCAGCAGACGTGCGGTTACCGCCATGCAAGCAGCGCTAATCATGAAAAGCACATACAGGGCGAAGAATAACTCCATAGATTTCCGACAGATTGTCAGTAAAAAGAGGGATGAATTCGACGTGTCCTACATGGAGGGGAGGAGATGGACTTTCGCACGGCTAACACTGCCTCCCTACATCCCCGAGTCCAAACTTGAACGTTGTGACATTATAGAGTTGGACTATTTCTTCCAGTTCAAGGTGGAATTATCAGGAGGGTCAGATGTCACGCTTGAAGCTCCACTATTGATTGGATCAAAACCTCAAGGTTTGGAGATTCCCGCTGACGAGAAGCTGGGTTTGAAAATAAACAGACAGTGGACTGTCAGAGGCTCGAAACATTTTCAAGGCCTTGATGAACAACGGAGAAGAGAAGATTCAGACGGAATATAACGATGGCTGGGGAGTGGAGATTGTACCAGAGATGAGACCCGAAGATGCCGTTATTGCTAATCCGCTCTTTCAACACAATTTGGCTCTCCAGAAAGGAGTAAAAGTGTACCCGGATGAAGTCATTGAAAATACAAAATTATAGGTAACGTGGCAAAGGTTATACAGATGTGACCAAAATTACAGCATGCATAACAAGTATAGCAAAAATAACATGGCTATAACGAAAAGTTATAGCAAGTATAGCAACTGTAATACGTCTGTGATGAAAATAATAAGTATATAGCAAACATAATAAAGCTGTAAACAAAATTATAGCAAAGGTACAACGGTAATATAGCTGTTGCCAAAATTATAGTAAGCATTGCTAAGGTGATATAGCTATGACCAAAATTTTAGCAAGTATACCAACAGTTATGTAGCTGTAACCAAAATTATAGCAAGCATTACAAAGATAATATAGCTATAAACAAAATTATAGCATGCGTAGCAACGGTGATAAAGCTGTAATCAAAATTATAGCAAGCATTACAAAGAGAATATAGCTATGAACAAAATTATAGCATGCGTAGCAACGATGATAAAGCTGTAACTAACATTTTTGCAAGTGGGTACAGCAAAGGTGATATTGCCGTAAGACGAAATCTTTAATTATGTGCTTTTCTCTACAGTTACGACTGGCTACAGTGTATCAGATACTGTCCTTGGGAACATCACGCCGTGAGGCCTAAATCTGTTCCACTATTAACTTTACTGCAACTCCGACTGCTAAGAAAACGGGGTTTTTTTTTTTTTTTTAGTCAAATGACAAAGGAAATACAACTATAACCCCAGTTATATGGAGGTTGTGAAGATGTAGGTTGACAGGATAATGTTGAGAACATCAGGGGTTGATAAAAAGTGTTTTAAAGATGCTTTAAGGATTTAATTCATACAGAGAACTGATTACCGTCACCAGGAGCAGATAATCTACATTCCGTGGGTACGTTACTGGAAGGGAACAACTTTAAACAGATAGAAAAAGAAGGTTGTTTAGGCTTTTAATGGATAGAAAGCATTCAAAAGTAGCAGTTAACCTCTTTCATCTGAATCTATAATACTGGGAATGCTGGAGTAATGGGCAATGAAAGAGCTGACCAGCTGGCAAGTAATGCGGTAATGCAAACGGGAAGAAGCATGGGCAGAGCTGACATCATCCTAGCTGTACTGATTAGGCTGGGGAATAATGTTGAATCTCTGACACTAACAGGATTGCGTGACGTGTTAGGTAAGCTTGGTGAAGTACGTCTGTGCCGTCTTCGACGTCAAGACAGGAGATACTACAATCAACTTCTTATAGGAACAATTAGTAGGGGTACGTTAAAAAGTGGCTGCTACTTCAGAGGACTGACCACACATGGGAGTGCCAGTGTGCAACCATGTCGATTATAGTAATATAACATAAAGATGAAAGTTTTCAGGGAATATGGGGGATGGTTAAAAGATAGAGAGAGAGATAGATAGATTGATAGAGAGAGAGAGAGAGAGAGAGAGAGAGAGAGAGAGAGAGAGAGAGAGAGAGAGAGAGAGAGAGAGAGAGAGAGAGAGAGAACGAGAGAAATAAGACAGTTGAAAGTTGGACATCAAGACATAGACAGACTATCTAATTTAGAGCACACGATGAAAAAAGACTGTATCTCATGATGTGCCTAGTAGTTTGCCTTCTTTTTCTTGCAACTAATTATATATGTAGTTGTCCAGACATTTCTATTATCACTTTATCTTTTGTACCTCCTCCTATTGGAGGTGAGAGGTCTCAATAAGTTTTGGGTTTTATATCTCAAACAACGGATCAACATCATGGCACAAGAGTAGTAATCCGTGAGTGATCCGTTCTACTTCAAACTCAAGCCTGAATTTAACCAATCTGAGCGCAGTGTACGAATTCCGTAGCACCGGCGAGGATCCTGAAATACTTTGGCTTAGATTTTTAACTCCAGTCGTGCGTAGGTAGCGCCATTAGGCTACTCTTTTCGATTGCAAACTACCAGGGATTTTTTTTACGTGCGCAACAATACATATAGGTGTCAGATCTTCCTACCCAGAGACCAGGGAAAATTACTAGAAGTCCACGGGAAAAAATTCCAGCCTTCACCGGGGTCTGAACCGGGAAACTCTACCTAAGCACTCGAGGCAAACGCCATGCGTTGAGACTACTCACCCCCACCGGCCCTCAAACCAGTAATATTCCAAAGGAGAACCGTAGACAACACTGCAGTCATCCTTCATTATAGAGAGGGCAAAAAATATGTAAATGAAAATCACATTTCCTCATACATTTAAATTCTCATAAAGTATATTGTGTTCTAAAACGTTCTAAGTTTACATGGGAAAATGCCCACACGTTAATATTTTCATATTTAACCTAACCGTGAATCCTTTCTTCTTCTTTTTCAGCATTCCGAACTCTTGAGGTTCATTGCTGCAGATATCACCCGCCTCCATTTATCTCTGTGGTTGGCCTTTTCTTTCCAGTTGGTGACACTAAGTGTTTATAGGGCTGTCTGAACGTTATTTCTTCATCGTCTTCATGGTATTTTTTGTGGTCTGCGATCATTCTGTTCCCCTGTGTATAGTTTTTAATCTCTCTGTCATCTGCCATTCTTTCAGTATCGTTAGTTGCGTATCCTTTACAGGACGTTGCAGAACCAACCCCAGCATTTTTTGGCTGTTGTAGTTTTTCTAGGCAAATTTACGTCCTGTAGTTTGCTATGCCATCTGGACCGTCAACTTGTTGATACCACTGTCGAAACCAACACATGGCGCAAGGCCTCCAGGTGGGATCGAACCCGGCACCCCGGCATTACGAAGCGTGTGCGCAAAGCCTAAGTTAAAGACGCCGACTCTCCCAAGGTGCCCCAGCCTTTCAGTCCTTTTGATAACCATTAGTTCTTTAGGAAGTAAACCTTTTTTTAAATCTGAAATGCTACAAATAAATTACCAGAATATCAGGAACCAAAGAGGAAAAGAAATACATACATCTAAAATGACCTGAACATCAAGAAAGATTGGCTAGTAAACAGATATTGTCTCCTAAACTGAACAATTTTTTATATATCAAGCATCATGTCGGATTGGAAAAATTAATAACAAAAGGTCTGGCATCAGGAAAAAGGAGCAAGGGCCGACCAGCACGAAGATTGGCTCAGGATATAAGTGAATCCTGGGATAGGAGCGAGCAGAGGTGTGAGAGCTGCTTGGGTCGAGATTCTTTCAAGTAGACCATGATGAGAGCGACGTTCTGCCCAGGACCTGCTATATGATAATAGTGATATTTTATGTCAACATTTTGTTAGTTTACATGGACAATTCTCAGATAGTAACATTTACATATGTGATCTAACCACGCAAGAAACCACGATAACATAGACTAAAATCTCTATTCATAATAATTCAGATTTTTCTGTCGAAGTCGTTGGATTCTTTACTCACAATCTCAGGAAAGCTTGTAATGTTTCTTTTATGAGATCAAATGCTCACATTGACACTCAGTCGTTTTAACACATACTCAAACTGACACTTACTTTTTCTTCTTTCTTTTCTCTACTCCTGGAATGCCTCGCGGCGTCAGGGCAGGAAAAGATGACCCATGCGTATATATATATATAAACATGTTTAGAAGGGTCACCCAGAAAGATTGCCGAGATTATTGTTATTATAAAGGAAGTATGAATGAATGAATGAAAATAAATGAACGAATGAATGAATGAATAAATAAAGAAAGAAATGATATCACTGCACTCGGAACATCCGCATACGTGCTCTGTCTCCTTCCCCTGTAGCAAACACACAGAAAGTACCAGTTGCAACCTGATTTAAAGTTCGTAGAAGTTGTCAACCCCCAACTGTTAAATATCTTCCAGATCCTCTTCTCAGCCTTGTTAAATTCGTGTTTGACCGTTTTGATTCTCTCTATGTTATATTGCACTACCCATTTAAACTCACAGAGGCGTCTCTATGTCCGATTTATTGTGCAGTAGTTCACACTCTCCCTTGAGGAGCGGCAGCAGCCAGTCTATCAATCTACTTATTACTCCACACACCCGAATATTCTGGCCAGAAAATGTGATGATTGAAGAAAATGCATTTAATGCCACACGTGTGGCGTCTTAGATGTTCATAAAGTTTTATGTTCAAGACCTACTTTCATACACTTCCATAAGGGCGCCATATATAGCTCTAATGATATCTAGACGGTATTTAACCTCATGGCACGTCTTCTGAACCGTGTCAAGAGTTACAATTGCAACTTCTGCAGCGACCTTCTGGATGTGTCTTATACCCTCAGCGCCGTTTGAAGCCTCACCATCACACAAGATCACACGAACTTTTTTTCATCTGAACAGTTAAATGTTGAATTAAGAAGTAGTAGCAGCAGCAGTAGTAGCAGCAGCAGTAGCAGTAGTTGTGGTTTTAGTGATACTAGTAGTAGTTGTTGTTTTGGCAATAGAAGTAGTTGTATGATTGTGGTGGTGGAATAATTAAACCAAAAAAAAGGGGAGGGGGGTGGGGAGAATTGAGAGTCTTTTCACGTCAATTGCGCACCGAACACATAATTCTTGACAGTAATAGATAAATAATACTAATAATAATAATAGTAATTTGAAGAAGTAGAAGAAGAAGAAGAAGAATAAGAAGAAGAGAAGAAGAAGAGGAAGAAGAAGAATAAGAAGAAGAAGAAGAAGAAGAAGAAGAAGAAGAAGAAGAAGAAGAAGAAGAAGAAGAAGAAGAAGAAGAAGAAGAAGAAGAAGAAGAAGAAAAACAACAACAACAACAACAATAACAACAACAACATAAAGAAGAAGAACATAAAGAACAAGAAAAATAAGAACAAGAAGTACAAGACAATAAGAACAAGAATGAAAAGCAGCAGTAACAGCAGCAACAACAATTTACACAGTAAAATCTACATAACAGGAAATACGTTCTGCTTTGCTCATGATATGAAAGGACCTGCGACAAGCTGACTTATAAATCATCTACAAACCTTGTGTATAACATTTATCATAACAGCAGCTGCTATCTGATTGTAGGTAACAGGTTATATGTTCACAGATCATCTGCGAGGCAACTATTGTTGACACGATTCGCAATAATTTAACATGA